GGCCCCTCCCCCACCGCCCCGCCCCCAGTCAGCCTGGCCCCGGTCACTCCGCCCCCGAGGCCCCGACCCCGTCACACCCGCCCAGAGGCCTCGCCTCCGCCACCCTGCCGCCGCCCCTGGAGCCCCGCCCGCGGAGGAGCTGAGGGCTGGGGCCTGGGTGACGGACTCTTAACCTGCAGGCGGGCTCCAAGGTTTGTTTGCCTTAGCAGGGTCGGATGAAAGGGCTTAAGGGAGGCGAGCAGAGGTTTGGCTTGTCCCGTTTTGCAACACCAAGACATAGTGGTTTGCCTAGATAAGAAAAATGAGTGTCATCAGGCGGCGAATGTGTGAGCTAGGGACGCCAGTTTTACAAATTGCTTCATCCTACCCTGGGAAACCCTCCCAGGTCACTACGTGAGCTGAATCCCACTCAGGCATTGGCTTTTGAGTGCTTTGTGTCCTCTCTTATCGAGAACTCATGGGATCTACGTTTATACCTTGCTTTTTTCCAAAGCACCCAGGTGGCAAAGGAACTCCCTTTTCAGGTCTAAGTGGCTGACACGAGACAGAGCACATCCTGCGGCTGAAAGCTTAAGTGTGATGAGAAGATCCTCGTCATTTGCTAGTTAACTGCTTCCTGGGTTCGTTAAATTTCCAGTCTGGAGATTTGCAGGAAACTTGGAAGGAATGGTCTGTGTCTTCAAAGATCTTCCAGTCTCTAGGGGAGACACCATGCCCAGGGCCCTCCTCGGGCTTTCTAAAAGCAAGTTTAAGTGCCTCAAACAACGCAGCCTCATTTCTGACTCACACCACTGTTCTCCTGCAGATCAGCTGAAAGCTCTTTGGCCAGGTTAGCACTGTCCTCTGTTTGGACAGCTGTCTCTATAGCAGAGGAAAAAGAAAGAATGGAAGAAGCAGGAACTGGCACATAAAGCTTCTTTCCGGAAACGCCACTTGCCCTCGTGTTTCATTTGCCAAAGCAAATCACACAGCCACACTTGACTTCAGACGTGCAGGGAACTACAGCCTCCCCGTGTGTTTGGAAGAATCAAGTCTTTCTGAGGCGTGACCACCTAATGGTTAGCACAGCTGCCCAAGCACAGAGCCTTGACATTATAAACCATCTGATGCTTATTACTCAGCAGTCAGGGACAGAATTCCACGTGGGCTTAGATTAAGTTTCTGCCACCGGGAAGAATGGAGTTTTGAAATACAAATAAGCTGAGAAATTACAGGAAGTTAAATTTCTAGAACACTCGAGTTTGTGTACTGGGGTTTGTGTCCCCTCTCAGTCATACATGCTCCCTGAGGACCATGCAGGATCAAGAAGTCTGATTAGAATCATCACCATCACCACGGGAGGACATTTCTCACCTTCTTACAAAGGTGAGTCTCACTGGCAGGGAGGAGTGTAGGGCCTGGAGGAGAGGAGAGACATGGAGGACAGGGCTTTGAGAGAAGGAACTAGGAGGACACTCAGAGCCTGAATGTCACAGACGAAAATGGGAGGTTCCACACCTGCTTCTGAATTTTACTTAATACTAATGACAGTCGTCCTCTGTGAAGTCCCCCACTCTGCCATTTTGCTTACACCTTCTCAGGACAACTTGTGAGGCAGGCTCCATCATCCCAGTCCGGAGAGCCCCACTCACTCTCGGCGCTGCGGTTTCAAAGGTGGGACTGGGCGCTGGAGGTCACCTGAAGGGCGCTGTTGCGGAAGAGGTTTCGGGCCCATCTGAATTCCTGTGCCTGCTCTCCCGTCCCTTTCATGTCCCCTCCCTCCTCACGTGTCCTTCAGAGCCTCAAGCCCTGGTCTGGGAGTGGAGGAACACACAAAGAAGGGAGAGAAGATGGACAGCCATCGCATTATCCGAGCAGGAGCTAGCATCACTTGCTGAAACACTCGCCCATCATTAAGAGCTGCGAGAACCTTTTCATTCAAGCTGTCTCTCCAGGCCTCCTCTGCCTCTCGTTAATTTTGGTAGGGCTGCTTTCCTTTCTTCTCTCTTGTTCAGTGCCTTTCTAACCTGTTTTTCCTTCCCCTGGACACAATTTGATTTCCAGGTTGCTAGCAGGCTTCTCTCTGGCTTTGATTCATGTGTGTCTTCCCTGTGCCACATGTCTTTGCCATACATACATGTCTTCACTACCTTTTCGCAGTCCCTTTAAAGACCCACCGATGCTCGGCAGAACGTCGCAGGAGTAACGTACAACAAAAGACAGTTCTAGGGAGCCTGGCGTCTCAGGCTGGATGTCGGAATGCAGGAAGACTTAGAACTCCTCAGGGTGCAGAGGAAGCACAGTGAAGGGCAGATTCCCCAGCTGTCCATGGAGCGGTTGTCGAACTTCTTTTTGTTGACTTCAGGCCCTTCTCAGACAGGCGTGTGATGCCATGGTTCACAGGCCCAATGCGAAAGACGTGGGAGCTTGGCTTCAGCGGAGAGTTCTCTGGCATCCGGCTGCCTCTCCTGCTCTAGCTTTCCGGCCGCATTCTCCCCACATCTGTCCCTCGTCCCCCCCAGCAAAAAGGATCACAGGAGGGTCAGGCACGCACAAACCAGCATGTTTGGGACATTCATGGTTTCACAGCTGCAGATGCTTTTCAGTGCCCGGGTTTTATTTTGTATTTTATTTGTAATCCACCAGTCATTATCCAAACGTCTTTTGCGAACCTAAAACTTCTTTGCAAAGACCCATGCCTCAGGTTGGGTGAAAGTTAATTGAGAAATGAAATGGAGGAGGTAGGATGCATGGATGAAGTGAACTTCCTTTATCCCCTTTAGCACAAATTCTTGAGTTTGCTCATATGGCTTAAACCTGAGGAACTCAGTAACTTCAGGCAAAGGATAAGGCAAAGTGGTACAAACTGATGGGAGGGGTGTGCATGGACGATGTTTTGAATGATCTTGCAAAGGGTCTAGTGGTGGAATTGATAGAGACTTTTTGGAGATGCTGGTCTTGGACGAGGCATCAGTGGAGGTGTGGAGGGGGAAGTGAGCAGTGGAGTCCGCTTCCATTTGGAAGGTAGAGAGGACCGAGGTGCTGTTGCATTGGATGTGGGTGTGAGAGAGACAGGACCAAGGATGACTCTTAAGCGTTTTGCGGTGAGCAACTTTTTTTAACCCCAAAGTTGTCGTGGTTATTCTACAACTTGAAAAGTGGTACAGAAGTTGTGGATGAGCCTGGACAGGGATCCAAATAGCCTGGATTCAGATCCTTGCATTGCCACTTACTTGTTGTGCGAACCAGAGCATCTCACTTAACCTCTCTGTTTCCATTTTGCCACCTGCGAAGTGGTGATAACAGGGCCACCTACCCCTCAAGTCAATAAATACATGTAAAATGCTCAGCACTGGGCCTGGCATCCAGCAAGCACCATATAAATGTTTGCCATTATTATGTTAAATGATGCACATGGAATGTGCGTCGTGTATGTGTATGTGTATTAAGAGCTTGGGAAACACAATGCTTAGCGACTATTATTAATTTTTTCAACAAAAATGTATTAAGGTGAAAGTTATAAGAACAGAAACCAAAAAGATTCTAGTCCAGTTTTCCAGATGCTCACAACTTAAGGGGACATGCGTGAACCTACAGACAATAATTTGCATATGACAACAGTAAGCACTGAAATGGTTATTTACGCAAATATAATAGGAGCCTATGGAAAGGTCTGTGCTTGGGGGGGGGTGTTAATGGAGGACTTCCTGAAGGAGGGAGCATATGAACTGCACCTTAAAAGATGACTTAAAAGAAGTGAAGTGACTATGAAGCCACATGACTGACTAGGAGCAGATGCAGAAGGAAAACACTAAAACCTCAGAGCTTACACGAGCTGTAGGAGGGCCAGCAGCTAGGGCTGACTTCTCTGGGGTTCTTACAGGGAGCTTTAGGCCCATACAGAGCGAAAAACATTAAGAGGGCGGGTGTGAGCCAGTCCCCCCATGTGGCAGCCTTCTATCTGGGGGTCCCTCTGGTAAGCCCCTGTGCAGGGCTGAGCGGCTCTAAAGCCCTGGGTCTTTTTTTTTTTTTTTTTTTAATTGAGGTGTACTTGATGCTTTTTCTCCTTACCATCAGTGGAAATGATAAAGTAACCTCTCTATTCATCTATCAAGGGAGTGAGATCACTGCCAGAAACTAGAATGCTTGCTGTTAACAATTTTGAGATTATGGAAAGTTCATCAATTCCTATGGAAAATATTAACAGCCTCTCCTTGGATGAGGCCATTGTGAATGTCACTACGTCACTGTTGCAGGCAAATGGATTTGAATTCAAAATATTACTTTATCCAATGGACCAGAAATGAAACCCCCAGAAAAGAAATATACACATATACAGGCTTTAAAAACCCTCTATACTTTCTGTACATATAGTATTGGTTTTTAAAATATGTAAATATACAAATTCATACACACACATGTTTGAAAATGACTAAATACCTCAGCATTCATTTTCTTATTAGCCTTTTCTGCCTCCTTTTATTGGGAAAGATGATGGGTCAGGATTTCGTCTTGTATTACTCTGGCATTCTGCTTTTGAGAAAGTTGCCTCTGAGCGTCATTTCACTCTTCTAAACTCTGGAGACATATTTCATTAGGTTTTGGGTTTTGTAACATAAAAAAATTCAAAAAAAGCTTAGAAGGAGAATCTTTAAAAAATTTTTTTAAACTGTTAAAAAGAAGTAGCCTTTTTAAGCACAGGGATTTTTAATGCACATAAATAACTCAAATTCTAATATAAATGACAGCTAAACTTATTACAGAGCAAAAACACAAGGGATGTAGTATCGTGAAAGAAATTTTTTTTAAACATTTTTTTAATTGAGTTATAGTCATTTTACAATGTTGTGTCAAATTCCAGTGTAGAGTACAATTTTTCAGATGTACATGAACATACATATATTCGTTGTGACAAATTTTTGGTGTTGTGAGCTACCACAAGATCTTGTAGATATTTCCCTGTGCTATACAGTATAATCTTGTTTGTCTATTCTGCATATTGCTGTCAGTATCTACAAATTTTGAAATCCCAGTGAAAGAAAATTTCTTTATAAGGCATTTAACCAGTTCCATCACAGTCTGAAGGCAATTTAGCTTGGATTTTAACTTCAAAAAGCCAAAATTAACACATGGATTTGAATTAAGACATAACTTTGTTGAATGGACAAAAACCATCAATCCTTATGTTAATGATTAAGCTCAATTTACCTTCCATTCCTTCATTCAGAAAAGAGCATCTACTAGATGCCAAGAACACCAAGAAATTAGTAAGTTAAGCTCTAAATGTCATAGTTCATATTTATGATGATAACTTTTTTATTTTTTATTTGTTTTAAATGAAAATATAGATTAATTCAAAGGCATATTATAAATAATATTGATGAAATAGTGTTAGAGATAATGAAAATTTCACCTATGACTAATTTACCTGATTTGGTTTATTCTTTATGCTCTTCAGTTCGAACTCTAGTGCTCGGACAGTGCTTTCAAGTTGCTATTTCTGGTAAACTTGTTCATTGTATTCTTTTTCCTTTTTAAATCTTCCTTAGTTTTTTCATATAATATGTAAGCATTTTTCTTTGTTTCTTGTTTTAATGTGAATCTGCAGTGAAATATGCTTATCTTAAAATTTATTTTGTTAGAAAATAAAAAGTTCATTTTATGATCTGGTTCTTCACATGCCGATTTATTACCCTAATGGAATTTCTATGTTCTCAATTTTTTTTTTCATTTCTAAGTCTCACATTTTAAATTCCTCACTTCAATGTCTTCATAAAGATATATATATTTGAAAAGTAGCAATGAACAGACATAATGTTACTGAGTTTCAGTCAAGAGTAACTCTGGTGAATAGTGGAGGAAAGAAATTTTGCAATTATTCAGTAAGGTTTGAGCTGAAGATTACCATTTTTTTCCCCACATAGTCACAAATTACTCCTTCATTAGGACAGAGAATTTAGTTACTAATTAAAAGAGAAGTTGCTGTTTAGAAACAAGTTTATAAGTTCATGAGAAATAAAATTTCAACTTCATGAAGTATTACAGGGACTCCTACATGATCTCCAGCGGAAGGTAACATCCGCAGGCGTCTTTTCCAGAACACAGACCCGCTAATTAGCATAATCCAAGGCGAGGCTGGGGAGTCTACTCCCTGATGCCCTACATTTTATGTTTCTTCTTTTGCAACACTTTGAACTTACCTTGTTTATTATTAGTAAATCATTTTCAAATCCCTTTTGGAACAAGGCAGGATCCATATTAAGTAATTACACAATAAAGAGTAATCCGTGCTTTCAGCATAGACCTTTGAACTGACCTTATCTCCGCATGAGAGAGATGCTGAAGAAACTAACCAGTAATCACCTTCCACTTTACTTTTTATTCATCCATTCATATGTTAAGAATCAAACTGCATAATTTTTTTTTAAGTTTCTGCCTTGAGAAAAATGGTCATTTCATAATTCTGCAAGTGGGAATGTAAAGTAATATAAACTTTCTGGAGGATAATTGAGAGATAAGGATCAAAGATCTTTTTTTAAAGAAATATAGAATGAGAATATATGTGTATATATATTGCTGTATTATTTCCAAGAGTCTCATATTCCACAATATTAATGAAATTTTCTCCTCTGTAAAATCCCAAAAGGTCAGTTAGCAATGATAAAACTTCTCCTACGTATCTACAGTATTAAATATAAAGAGTTCAAATATTTCTTTAAAACCAAGAAATTCAGTACCTCACACTGCAGAGCTCTCGTTCCCACGCCACATTTTGATCCAACTGTGAATTCGTTTCTCTTGTTTCCAACTGTTCTTTTTGTAGCCTGTTAACCTTATTTTCCATTTTTTTAAGTCTTCCTCTAAGTAGTTCATAGTCAGCTTCTTTACTTTCTATTAATCTTCTGAATGAATGAACTGCATTCTGAATTTTGAATAACCTAACAGAATCTGCATTAGGAAGAAAGCAAAAATAAAAATAAAATGTATGAGTAATTTTTGTGTATAAAGGACTGTGCATTTCACATTCACTCATCCATACATTGAACAGATGGTGCTGAGCATCTATTCTGTGGAAGACATTCTTCTAAGCTCTGCAGATATTAAAAGAATGACAAAGTAATATTGTGAACATTATGCAAATAAATTTGACAATTCAGATGAAGTGGGTAAATTCCTTGAAAGAGAGAAATTATAGAAGCTCAATTAAGAAAGAGCACATAAGCTAATAAGCCCTATATCTTAAAAACCAAAACGGAAGTCCTATTTAAAGACCTGACCACAAAGACAATTCCAGTCCCAATGGCTACACTGGTGAATTCTACCCAATATTTTAGGAAAATTTAATACCAACTCTACACAAATTCTCCTCAAAAAATGAAGAGGAAGAAATATGTCCTCATTCTACAAAACAAGCATTAACCTGAATCCAAAACCAGACAAAGATATTACAAGAAAGAAAACTAATGTCATGAAAATGGAGGTAAAAATTCTAAACAAAACATTAGCAAATTAAGTCCAACAATACAGGATAATTCGTCACGACCAAGTCGGGTGTATCCCAAGAGTGCAGGGCTGTTTTAACACGTAAAAATCAATGTTATTCATCATATTAACAAACTAGAAAAGAAACACCATATGATCATGTCAGTGGATAAAAAGAGGCACTTCCCAAATCTCAACATCTATTCCTGATAAAAAACTTCCAGCAAACTAGGAACTAAGGGAACGTCTTCACTATGGCAAAGATCTGTGCTAGTCTTACAGCTGACACCATATGCAGTGGTGGAAAACGGAATGCTTTTCCCAGAAGGTGAGGAACCGGACAGGAATGGCTTCTCTTACTCCTATTCAGCACTATACTGGAGCCAGTGCAATCAGGCAAAACAAAGAAACAAAAAGCATGTGGGTAGGAAATGAAGAGGTAAAACTGTTTGCTAATCAGCGGGGAATATGATTACATGGTGTGAGTCAGCTAACTCCAAGCTGTGGGCTGGGTTGCTTGCTGTGGTAAATAAAGTGTTACTGAAATACAGCCACGTCCATTAACTTCTGTATTGTCTATGGCTACTCTTGTTGCAACAGTGACAGAGCTGATTAGCTGTGACAGAGAATGTATTTATTGGCTGCAAGTCTTAAATGTGAACTATCTTTAGTAAGACAGTAGTTTAAAGAAGAAAAAGCTTGACCACCTTTGGTTACATAAAAAATCGGAGAGAATCCATAAAAAGGCTACTAGAACTAATCAATGGGCTCAGCCAGGTTGGAGGGCACAGAGTCAGCATACAGAAATCAGCTGTATTTCTATCATCAGAACCTAAAATTTAAATTACATTATTTTAAAACAAACAAATAAAAATATACTACTTACAACCGCACTGAAAAATAAGAAATACAGGTAAACTCATAAAAGACGGAAAGACCCAGACACTAAAAACTCTAAGATATTACTGAGAAAATCAAGGAAGACCTATATAAACGGAGAAATAAACTTTGTTCGGGGTTAAAAACTCCATATTGTTAAGAGGTCAAGTCTCCCCAAGTTAATCTACAGATTCAACATTATCTACATCTAATCTCCAGGACACAACAGACTTTTTTTTTTTTTTTACATTGACAAGCTGGTTCTAAAATTCATGTGGAAAGAAGGGTAATAAAAGAAAACAAGATGAAGCCAGAGGACTGTGGCCTTTAACCACGGAGCTGTGAGAAGCAGGAGCTGGATTTTAAGCAAGGGGGTAACATGTTGAGGTCTAGTAATCACGGTTGCGGTGTAGACCAAGGTCCCAGGAGGGGGAACGGCGGAGCAGAAAGTCCTGAGGTGATTTCAGCGTTCTAGGAGGGAAGCAGTGATACCCTGACCTTGGGTGAAGGCGTAGGGGCAGCAGAGTCAACAGAACGCACAGGGAGTGGGAACGGCCACAGCCCCTGGCTGGCAGCGCGCAACACGACTGATTCTGCTTTAACACAAAGCAGGTTTCTGAGGCGCAGCGGACTGTGACGTATCCGTGCTCCCTAGGGCAGTACTGGGTGCGCACACGTTACCACGAGACACTTAAAAAGGGTGTGAAGTCACACGGGGGTCCTACCTGTACTCTCTGGGCCAAGTCGTTCGATTAGCCTCAGGGTGTTCTTATAATTAGGGTAAAGCGACTCGCAGTCCTCAGAAGCTGTTTCCGGTGACAGAGTTAAGTCATCGAGGTCATCCACAGAATTCACCTGCTCTTTGACCTACAAATAAATAATGCTATTTCACAGTGTCTCCAACATAGTTAGAAAATATGCTCAGTGTACTGAGGTGATAAATATCCATTTTTTTATGAGAGCAAAAACACAGACACTTCTTGAAAGAACCGATCTTTGTCAAAAGGCTAACTTTATCAATAGTGTTTCTCAATTATTTTTACGTAAATGTCTCTACAACAAAGGAGGATTTTGTTTTTCCACTCTATTTTTTATAAAGTATTTTCTACTGCAGGATAATATTTTTATAATTAATATTTTACTATATCTTGTCCCTCTTAGTAGACATTTTCTTTGAAGACCTAAGGGGAAAAAAAGCAATTTATTTCAGCCAAATACTAAATGTTGAAAATACAAGAAATATGTAAACCTATTATTTTTTATATAAAATCTTTGCATTAATAATTAATTTTCAATAAAAGATCTTAAACAAAAAATGGAAACTGACATTAAAGGACAAAGAAAGTATACCAATTATATTATTAACAAAGTATTAAATTTAGATCAAGCAGACAAGCAAAGGAAAAGGAAAAATGTAACGTTACCTGCATTATTTGATAGGAAAAAATATACCAGGATTTTCTTGTTGTTGTCATTTTCAATAAAAACTGGCTTTTATGGCACTAAAACCTATTTGGAAAGTATTACTTAAGTCCTTATATGAAAGAAACCCTTTTCTAATAACCATGATACTAGCTTTTTTGAGGACTTAGTGTGCAACTGCTGTGCATTATTATCAGCACTTTACATGTCTTAAAGACATTTTAATCCTCACAACAATTCTGGGAGGTAGGTAATACATTAGGTACTTTACCCAGGAAGAAAATGAGGCACAGAAAGGCTAAGTCACTTGCCGAAGCCCCTATGTCTGCCCAGAATTCCAACCCAGGCAATCTGGCTTCAATACTTGCATTTCACAATGTGCTAAGAAAGTACTATTTATTTTTAAGTATTTTTAACTAATATAGTAAATGAATCTCTATTATTATTCTATGTCTAGGTATAATTATAAATAATAATTTCTGGGGCATATATCCAGAAGGAACCCTACTTCAAAATGACACCTGCACCCCAATATTCATAGCAGCACTATTTACAATTGTCAAGACATGGAGACAGCCTAAATGTCCATCAACAGATGACTGTGTAAAGAAGACATGGTATATATATACAATGGAATACTATTTAGCCATAAAACTGAATAACATAATACCATTTGCAGCAACATGAATGTTCCTGGAGAATGTCATTCTAAGTGAAGTAAGCCAGAAAGAGAAAGAAAAATACCATATAAGATTGCACGTATGTGGAATCTTAAAAAAATAAATACAAAACAGAAATAAACTCATAGACATAGAAGACAAACTTGTGGTTGCCAAGGGGGTGGGGGGTGGGAAGAGATAGACTGGGATTTCAAAATGTAGAACAGATAAACAAGATTATACTGTAGAGCACATGGAAATATATACAAGATCTTATGGTAGCTCACAGCGAAAAAAAATGTGACAATGAATATACGTATGCTCATGTATAACTGAAAAATTGTGCTCTACACTGGAATTTGAAACAACATGGTAAAATGACTATCACTCAATAAAAATGTTAAAATAATAATAATTTCTGAATCTTAACACCTATTTTTTAAAAATAAAAAGACTTTAGACCTAGGCAATACTGGAAATCTACTTTCAATAAAGATTTGCTTTTGCTAAAGAAATTAATCAGCGGCATGCATTATCCATTCAGCTGTTTGTTCATGCATTTGACATGTCCTTATGGAGCAAACAAAACATGTTAATGACACTTTTGGTACAGGAATGATGGCTTTTGTAATTTAGAACTTAGTAATCCAAAAGTAATCATTTCTGATAGATTGTTAATAGTTTATTATTCTATTGTATATAAACAAAACCTTCCCTTTCTTCCTAGAATCTAAACAAATATTAAGTTAATATAATCTGATAGTTTACAATAGCATACAAAACCATAGCCACCCATGATGATACTGTCAAAGACACTATAATATCTAGAATCATCAAGGAATGATTAAACCCTATTCAATATGGCCTAAGTGTTTGTATAGTTATTATGAGTATACAATTTAAAAAAATCTATATACAATGGTGTAACTTTAAAGTCATTATCTGCATATTCAATTGTGTAAGAATATTATGCTTCAGAACCAATGAATAAGCCCTTACAACAAAACCATATATGAATAGAAGTTTACTACAATATTTTAAAGATAACGTAATACAATTAATACACTTTCTAATAACGGAAATGCAAACAAGATGAAATTGAAAAACACGTCTTCTATGGAATCACATCCAACAGCATACAGGCATGCTCTACAAACTACCATCTTATCATTAAGAAAAGAAAGGGAACCCCCACGAGCCCCACGTTCCCCTTCAGTTATCGCCCAGTCCTCTCCTGCCTTCCCAGGGAATGTTCTCTAAGGGGCTGTTCACACTGATTCACTGCAGCCTGGCTTCCATGGAGACGTATTATTGAAACTACTTCTGGTCAAAGGCACTTGTCCTCAGCTTAACCTTTCGGCGAGTTCCTCTGATACAGTTGAGAATTCTCTTGCCTTGGCCTTTACACTATATGATGCTGTTCTATTTCCAGAGAAGGTGATCACTGCTAATACGTCTTCACCTAGAAATAAAGAATTTACAGATCTTCCCTGCCATGACCTAGATCTCCTTCACTTAAACTGCTGTTGTCATTCATGGGTAGCAGACCACCAGCTAGTAAGGCAGGCTTCTCAAATACATGTGAAGTCACAGATGCTTTTAACGTCTGTTTTCCACTTTCATTCTTTACTTCCTTCATATGCAAGCCAGGACAGCTACTTTAAAACAATCCATTAAAAAGCCAATTTTTAAAAATAATTCTACTGATTCTACTGAATTCTACTGAAAAAAACAATTTTTGTAAAATTCCAAATCTCACCCATCTTCAGTCATTTATTAATTCACAAAATGGTTATCAAGTGCCAATCATATGCAAGGAAACACAAATTCTTGCTTCAAAGACAGATACACAATTATGATACAATGTGATACGCAAGAGCTGACATATGGAAAGTAGTAAGTGAGTATGAGGAAGGCTTTACAGAAGAGGGGAAATAAACAGGAGATCATGAGCAAAACAGGAGGTCAGGAGGAAATTATTCTACTTAAGAGATGAGAATGTGAGCACAAAGATTAGGCACATGGCATCTAGGTGTGTCCTCGGAACCTGGAAGGAAGAGTGCAAAATACATGGAAGCAAGTAGAGAGATGAGTCTGGGAAGAAATTCTGAACAATATCTAGGAAAATAATAATTACCTACTGTTGAACACTGATCTAGGCTTACCTATCAGAATTTCCTTTCTGCAGAGCAGGAAACTGCTGGTCATCAGTTTTTCCCCTCTTCCTCCGCTGAGTTAGTCCTTTATAACAGTTGCCATCACACATGGTTTCTGATGCTTTCAGTTCACCACTTTTGTTCCTGTTCTCTTCTATTTCAACCTTCAGTGAAAGTTTGATACAAAGGGTAATTATTACTTTATTCATGATAAAGACTTTTTCATTCACTTTATTATTTGACTCAGAGTTTGCCCTAATTTCAATTGATTAAAATAGTTTTGTGCTTATTTTAATTTTATCATTTCAAGTCATTGAAATGTTTGTAAATTCTGCTTCTTTCTGTTTGAGGAAAAGAAACAGAATTTCCAAAATTTAAAAAAGGACTTTCTTAATGTTGTGCTCTTACATCCACTCTTCCCCATGTGAATGGCAGAGACAGAGAAATAAAAAGACAAAGGCATAAAATTTGGCCTCTTCTGTCTTTACCACCTAGATTTTGTATTAAACAGCCAGACTTAGAAGATGTCACACCTTGGTGCTTCAGTAACAGAAAGGGAACATTCTTCTTTCTGTGCTAAAGCTATCCTTTCCCCACTACTTTTTTTAATTCTTGTTTCATTTGGATCCTGGGGTATCAAAAAAGTGGTGTTCAATAAAACATATAAGCCCAAGTTTACTGAAAGGAGCAGAGTGAAACTGATGAATTGCCAGTTAGTGTGGAATTCTGCAAAAGGAATAATGCTACCCAATTTCACATTCAATAACCACGACCATTTTATAGCTAGAGGGCATAGGAGTAAAGAGTGATCTACCTTAGCCCCACTGTCTACTGACAACGGGAACACAACCAAGAAAGGTTAAGTGATTTGTCCAAAGCCCCTAAAGCAGCAATCTTCAGCATTTCACGGTGTCAAAAGAGACGATACACTTCTGTAACACTGAATCTAATACACTACCAAATAAATTCATCAAACTGATCAGGTAAGTTAAAAGTGTGACTTTGGCAAAGCTGGTGGCAGGGCTCATCTCCTTTTTCTATTAAAGGAGAACACCTTCAGATTTCTGTCTATCTTTCATACTCTTTGCACCTCACACAAAAGCACAAACACATTTTAAAAATCTATTACTAGAAGTAAAAAAAAAACCATTCAGTGCACCTCAAAATTCAAGTTTTCTCCTTTGGAGATAAATACTGAACTTTTTTTGCTGAGGGTTCATACTACCTACATGATAAAATCATACATGTCAAAACTTAGTACTATTAAATAATATAAAGTAAGGGTCTGACTCAACAGAAACACCCGAGAGTGGTGATTCAAGAAGATGTGGGAGCACATGTATTTATTCTTAAGAATATCTCAAAGCGGCCATGATGGAATTCTGAGCGCCCAGTGATCAGTGAGACAGATAAGCCCGCACTCACTAACGCACAATACACGGATCAGTTTAGTGGGAGTGTGTGCTTATATCCCTTCTCTCAGTCACTGCTTCCTTCCCATTCTATGGAAGTGCAACTTATATTTAAGCCAATAGATTAAAACAAAACAAAACAAAACCCTTGAGCTTATTGTATTTCCTAAGCCATTTCACTCGCATTTATTCCGGCTCAGACGGTCACGTGGCACACAGCTGAATTACTTTCCCACTACATATGAAAGACTGGCACAGAGACTTAGGTTGATTAAGGAACAAAACCCAGGAAAACACTTCCCTGAGTTCCTGTTATTTAGATGGCAGAAATAGTCTGTTTCTACACGATTACATATTTAGATGACCCCATTTTATACATAAGCTATTTTCATAAGTGGAAAATCAGATCAGATATGGATCAGAATGGAAGAGATTATTGATAAAAAGAAAAACCAGAGTAGCAGCAAAGGAACTTCTACCTCTTTTTGAAGCTGAATTTTCTTTTTCCAAAGCCAAGAATTCTACTTGTAACATGCCTACCTCACTCTTAAACCTTTGCATATCTTTGTGTAACTCTTTTAGATATACTTTGGATGTTCTGTTACCATTTGACGGCAAAGAACTCACATCTCCTAATTCGGGGTCCATGGTTTTAGAGTTATCAGCACCGCTGTTATCTGCAAGCAATGGCTTCTGGAGCTGGTCTTGTATTGGTTTGGTTTTCTTATAAGTATTTGAAACAGCAGACATAGCGTGACTTTTTATCTGAATCGTGTGTTTCATCTCACTGGGGCGGGAAGGCCACAAGCCAGGAAGGCTTTCTGGGTCGCTGACCTGAGGTGCGTGTCCAGTGTCTGATTTCCAGGGAGCACTCTGGCTTCCTTTTTTGTTTTCTTTTTGTATCAAATTCTTGGTCTTCTTTCACTTTAAATGGAACTCGATCCCTTACTTCATTTTCTCTATCATTATAAAAACCCTCCTCATTTTTGTTAAAAACATGTTCAGTGTCTGGTTTATCATTTTCATTTAACTTATTTTCATTTAAAGAAAGTTTTGGAGATGACTGGCAGCCATACTTTCTTGACTCAGACTTGAAGTAAGATGGAAAAACACTTTCAAGACTGGGCTCTTTGTGTGGAGGGAGCGCCTGGGATCCTACAGAGACGGAGGCTCCAGGTGCAACTTTTTCTTCAGAATCAAATATATTATTTGTCACATTGGAAGGTAGTTCCTTTAAGTCACCATGTAGTTCAGAGTTGTCATGTAGTGGCGCTACCTTACTATGAAGAATTTTTGCATTTTTCACCGTTTTTACTGACTTTCTGATTTAACTTCTTTGTGATAAATTTTATATTAATTTTCCAGTCTAATTTGCCTTCTTTGACCCACGTGTCCTCATGCTTCTCCACACAAGAATGTTTTGAAGATACAGGTATGTCCTTTCTGTCATGTTCCTTATTCATTCCCGGTTCTCCAGGCATTTTTTGCAGATGCACAAGTGGAAGATTACTGTGCCTGATTTGATCTTCAGATTTCTTTTCTTTCACAGTACATGCTTGTAAAACACATTTGTCCTTAAGTAGTCAAGTACGGATAAAAAAAATTAGAAAATAATTAAAATTTAACAAACTTCTTAATCTACATTTGGCTACTCACAAACTAAGAAGTGAAAAATAACTTGCCTTAGCCTTGAAATAGGAGAAAAACAGGAACTCAGAAACCTAACTTTGTCACTGTTTGTTTCAACTAAACAATTCATACATGTTAAATCTACCAAGAATTAGAGATTAGGTTTTTAACATTACAAAGGCTTCCTCACTAAAAAATATTTCACCTCACATACCCTAAATAGTGAGCCCCTCCAGTGCATGTAAAGATTTTTTAAAAGGACTAATAACTGGAGAATAGGCAAACTGTAAATTATTAGGCACCAAAATCAATTAACATCAATCGGAAAGAGGAACAAATTCCTAAATTTTAATGCAAACGATATACTATGATAGTGATCTATCTCAATATGTATTCTCTGCATCCATCAAGTTGTATCATACTCTAATATTCACTAGTGAGAGTGAATAAAAGAATTTTTAATAATATTTACTGATTTTCTACCCTGAAATGAAATAAATTAGAAAGGTTTGTTTGTTCCCTAACAGCAAAGGTCCAATCCTGGAAGGTTTGATTCTCTTACCAGGCAGTTGGGTTGACTCTATGACCCCTATTCTCTCCCTGAGTGTAGATTCTGAAATCGATTACATAGAGATCACAAGACAGAAGAAATCTTTCATCTTGGCATCAATGACTTGCAATTTGAAACTGCAAATTTTGGACCACTGCGAATGACTCTTCCTTACATGAAACTTAACTCGGTGGCCATCACTGCTATATTGCTTACAATTTCAACTACTTAATCACATGATTTAATATCACCTTCTTTATCATGTGAGGAAGTTATAAAAATGGAAGCAGCAAACAATATTCAGGAAGGTTTTTTGCCTCAATTCCAAGGATAAAGTTTACTATAAATTATTATAAATAGACCCTAACAATACTTTAAGCTTTGTAACTAGATAAAATGCTATTAAAAACTAAATATTAAATAATTACTTATTGACTCTAAAAGTCTAGTTTGAAAGGCAATTTCTTTTGAACTGTGTTATTAAAGCACAGTATTAAACCAGAAATTTAAATTTACAGTTTTACATACGTGTGAGTGGTTATTTTCACTTCCATCAAGTCTTTCTTGCTCTTCCTCAGATGTCCTTTGTAAGTCTAGGTCTGCTGAAAAATGAATATGCTTAGTTAAAATCCACTACTTAGAACAGCTAGATAAAAGGCATAATCTTTATAAAAACAGATAAAAAACATTTCATCAATTGACAGTTTAAATTAAGCTTAATCTTTAGCTGGATATTTACTTCTTTAAGAAATACTTCTAATTATCTAAAACTTCAACAAAATATTTGGGAAATACTAGATGTTCCCAGATTAAAGGCATACAAACATCTCAAAGTTTCATTCACAAGTTCATCCACCAGACATGAACAAAACAAAGAGAAATAAAACAAAATTTAAAACTACAGTAGAAACATACAAAGTCACAATAGACTCTATTCTCTACCTCCTAACAGTACCTTTTTACCAACATACCAAGCTTCAAGAGCAACGTTATTCATGGTTTCCAAAATTACAGTTACTTTTTATGATTTTATCTTGCCTTAATCTGAAATGTCTCCCTCTACTGTTCTGACAAATTCCTTTTTCTCTTTTAAGACTCAGCTGCTCTGTGAAGTCCTCCTTTATTACAGGTGTCTTTCCACGGAGACACAGGGATCTCTTTCCTCGGAGCTACCTTGGTACTTCACAGATTTTTCTAGTGTATCTTCACCAGCTGAACTGTAAACTATTTCTTTACATGTCTATTCTCTTTGCTCCTATGCTGTAGAGGACAAACTCTACAAAGAAAAGTACCTTTGTATAAACAGTCTTTATTTATTTTACTCAATAATTACTTATTGAGTTCCTGCTTTAGCAGTAGGTACTGAAGTTTAAAGAAGATTGTGTTTAAAAGGTGTCAGGGATGGCTCTTCTGGAGAATGCCTGAGCTGAGACTTCAACAATGAGGTCAGCCAGCTTCCCAGGAACGCGGGGCAGGAAAGGAAGAGAGCACGCAAGGCTGGGAAGGAAGGGAGAGACGCACACGAGAGGGTCAATATTTGTGTGAAATACAGGGCAGGTGAAGAGGGCATCACCAGCAGTTCAGAACACCAGAGCAAAGGACAGACAGAGGGCGCTAGAGAAGGAGAGCCAGGCAGAAGTCAGACCACGAAAGCCTTACCTGTCCCTGTAAGATGCCTGGACATTAATATGCTTTAAAGAGTGTTTCATGGTCATGTGTGCATTTGAGATAGATCACTCTACGTGCTGCGGGAGGGATGAATTTAAAGGGCATAAAAATAAATGGAGGGAGACAAATTTGAAGGCATTAATAATGCAAAAAAAGAAAAAAAATGCAGGCTTGAACTGAGGGAAGCTTTCCAGAAATATTTAGGATTTAAGATTATCAGGGCCCAGCACAGAATCTTTATTAAATAAATAAATGCATGACTACTGGGTCCCTGGAGAACTAGACTCTGCTTATTACTACATAAAAGGTATCAACTGAGAAGAGACATGATCTGCATGAACTATTTTCAGTTGCTTCTACTTCTCTTGTAGCTTTTCTGTTTCACATCTTCCCGTGTTGAGGGAGCTCATGTAGGTGTCTTAAGTCCTGCTTTCTGGATCTCCCAAGCTTATGAAGAAACAAGAGCAAACAAATCACTTGTTTGGTTAAAAAAAACTTGAGTTTATAGCCTGTAGTCACTACTGTAGGAGATAATTGAGAATCTTTTGTAAATACGACATTAATTCTACAGGTAAGGAAAGAAAAGAAGATAAAACTATAGGAATAGAAAAAATATTGTACAATTTATTACTACAGCTCTGATCATATCACTGATTAAGGTACTAAATTAATTGGTATATAAAGTAGAACACATATTAGATGTGGTTAATCAACAGACTGGGTATCCTAGAAGAACTAGAATTGATATTCCATACATTATTTTTAAGTGATAAAGCACTCCTTAAAAACCAATATCCTTTTTGACCGATCAATCCATCAAAAATAATAAAACAAGCTGATACACTATGTGGACAGTTAAGAAGGAGGTCCTGTGTAGCAAATTCCCAATGACTGCCACTACTGCTGGGAAAGCCATTTCTAAAGTACAGAAAGTCAGAGAATATACTAGAAATATTTTGATATTTAGTTGCAGAGGTGCTTTTTCAGTTACACTGAATATAGCTATAACTAATGCTTATAAATTCAGAGCTAGATAAAAATAAAGCTAAGAAGCCGTACTTTGAGAAGGGAATCTTTGGATGTCCACCTAGGTTTCCCAACCGGTCACAAAGCTCTAGACACCATCCTCCTACCCGCTCCCAGGACTGTGCTAAATACTAGTCTGAACGGACTCACTTTCTCCTAACCCTCTTTGCTATTTAATACGCTGCTTTGGTCAGAGGATGAATGTAAATGTCATGCCAAAAGGTCTCGTCTGGTTGCAGGTTGCATAAAAGGAGTAAATACAAAGGCGATCATGCCGCAAAGTGATTTCTGCAAAGTCAGAGTATGGTGAAGCCATGCACAGGTGGACTATGGCTAGCTCTCTATGCTGCTTTATTACCTACTTTGCTGCTTCTGTTCTCTGGCAGTTGTGACTCACACAGGCCACGGAGTGCTGCATTTTCTGACAGAGACACGGCTCCAATATTCATCCGGTCTTTATCTACTAGGGCCGTCTGCCTCAGTCCTGTGGGTGCTGACTGGTTTGTGGTCACTGATTGTGATACCAGTGGACATTTATCAACTTTCAAATGCTCGCCACTTTAACCAGCCTCATTATTGAGGCTCAAACTAGTAGAATCCCAGTCTGAAGGATCTGAAAACAAAGTTTCCAGTTATTAGAATGTGAATAGCCATACAAACGTGACTAACTTGTACAAATTCTCTTTGCAGAGCAGCAGCCCCACGTCCTGCTCTCCCCCCAAACACACTGCTCCCTCCCAGCTGGCTGTACTTTACATGTCACTGCTGTTCACATAGGGAACCACTGTCTCTCTTTTTTCTACTTTTAATTTTCTAGTATTACTTATTTGGATTCACTCACACTCTCTATTAAACAGTCAATATTCTGTAAGAGCTTTATGAATAAACATGACTCTTCAACATATGAATTTTTTCATTAACAAAATGTATGTCTAACCAGCCATTTACTGGACGTTTAAATATGCATGACAGTATTGTGTCCTAGAGACATGGGCTTTAAGAAAACTTACTGAATGGTACTACTTAAATTACAATGAGACAGTCTTTCCTCAGTGTACCAGTATCTTCAGAATTCTTTCCTTAAGGCGGATAAACATCATAAATTTATTTAAGAAAGGATAGCCTTGAGTGACTAATTTTTTTCATATACAAATAGGGTAAGTCCAGGTACAAACTAGATCCAAAGAGCACAGGGTGCCACGAGACAGGAAATATGTAACAAAAATGTTTTCCTTTTTTTTCAAAAGAATTAAGTTGTCAGATTTGAACTTTTTAAGACAAGTTAAAGAAAAAAGGCAAGAAATGTAGAAGTGAACTTTAAAGCCCGTTTCATCACAAGGGCTCCTTTATCATTTCACATCCATGAACCCTGTTTAAAACCGCAGTTCTCAAGTGTCATCTGAGAAGCCCTGGAGCCCCAAGTTCCCTCCATCTAGGGAGTCCATGAAGTCAAAACTATTTTCACAATAATACTGAAAGCTATTTTCATTCTCATTCTCCGCTAAGTGTGCAGTGGAGGTTTCCAGATACATGACATGTGATAACATCATAGCTCTAATGGCTAATGGAATGTTTGCATGTGCTTGTATTTTAAATCTTTCAGTTTTATTTTCTAATATAATAAACATCAATAGGTACAACCCACTTAAAAGTTCTTCAGAATTCTCAATAATTTTTAGTAGTATAAAAAAAAAATCCTAAACCCCGAAACTTTCAGGATTGCTGTTTTAAAAGATCATGTCTACCAAATATTAAGGTAGGACTAATTACTTCCATCATTTTTAATAATCAAAGACACCACCCCCCCACACACACACAGAGCTAATCAAAGCATCCAGTTGGCTTAAGATCTTTGGGGGAGGGAAATAGCTCAGTGGCAATCCCCAGGAGCTCCATTAGTAAATAAATACATAAATAAATAAATATCATCAATGTGACGGCACTTAAAATGAAATAATTCAAGTGAAATATGACTGACATGCTAGCCAGTGAAGCTTTACTCTATGTGAAAGTCAGATTCAATTAAGCATTTTAAAACTCTGGAAAAATCTTAGAACCTAATAATCAATCTCTCAGAATCCCTAAGAAGTATAGGGATTCCAAACTGAGAACTTTAGTGTCTCCCAACGTTAAGAGAAACATCTGAGCTAACTGACATTTTAAAAAATCTTTTTCTTATGCTTATATATTTTTTTCAAACATGGATACCAATAATAACATCTGCCTTACTTACATCGTCTTTCAATTAAATTTGAAAAAATAAAAGGAATTAGGAATAAGAAGACGGTACTTCATTTCAGAGTTAAATTTGTATTGCAAAATTTACCTGATTTGAATCTTTGTAAATTCTTCATTTCGCCTGTTTTATTAGGAACAGAATCTTTCACTCCAACTGCAGGCTGAATGATTTTGAAACAAACCGATTAATAATGTACATTTGATACAATCTGTAGCAATAATTCAAGGGGGGAGGGTCTCGCTCAGTGGCAGAGTGCCTGCTTAGCAGTGCATGAGGTCCTAGGCTAAATTCCCAGTACCCTCATTCAAAAAAAATTCCAGATAAAAGTATAAAAGTTTTTACTTTCAAGTGAGGAAATTTTTCAGTAGAATCTAAAAGCCAAAAGGGACACATAATCAATTATATGTACATATGAAAGCCAACTATCCATTCACGCAGCATTAGTACTGAGCGCAATCCTCACGCTTGCTTTGGAAATGAACACGTTAGGTTTCGGTGTTTTGTTTTTCAGGAGCAGTTAGGACAGCAACAAGACCGAAACACGAATCCATTATAGATACTGAATAAAGAGCAGGAATATAGGTTTAACAAAACATGCAGTTAAGATTTCAAAAGTACGATTATGTTTCAAATGACTTTATAAAATAGAAACATGCACATATACAAATGTGAACATGCTGCCTGAGGAGGAGAAAAGCCATCTTTAATCAGAGGAACAAATCATGGCTCCAAGAAGACAAATGTGAAAGCTGATGGTAAAATGCAACAGCACATCTTTAATGCGACTGACACCATTAGACTACAAGTATTTATCATGCTCTTCAATTTGTCCTGTAATTTAGGAAGTCCACAGTTGTGATGGTGGTTCATTTGAATGTGTAATTCAACTTCTTGTCAGGGAAAAGTGTTATGAATTGATCAGCTTGGGTACACACTTGTAGAATAATAGTTCACAAAAATATTCATTTTTTTCCATACCCACGTGGGCTATTGGTATGCCTACATTTCTTGGATCCTCTAGCCATCAAAGTTTTTGATCCACTCATAAAGAAGGTATATAAGACACATCTAAGAAAGAATGTATACTGAGTGTTCAATATTGAAATCTAATGATCAAAAAAAATTAATTGCTACAGAATTATTAGATATTAAAAGTCTTCTGTATTTCAAAATCTGTGTTGAAAATAACATTGAAAATAACACTTTTGGCATTTATGGAATGAACCCTATTAATTTCATTTCCAAAATTAGTTTGGTTTGGTAAATCAGACTAATGTTTAAAAGGATTTTTGTGAAACAACTATCTTATCAAAATATTAGCTATCCTTAAAAAAAAAAAACACAGCCAATGCTTCATATTCAAATTAATCTCACTTGAATAACAACTACTGATGCAACATGTATCTTTGAAACCTGATAGGAGGAGTGGCTGTGGTGTACCCAATTCTAGGCCCCCTCCTGATTCCGGTATTCTCTGGAGTGGCAATGACCTAACCTTGCTTCAGTGCAAATACACTGATGCCATCGATAAGGAGTTCTCTCAAGTTACCTCCTCAATTCCAAAATCACCTACCTGCGGCTTTTTTTTCCTCCTTCCTTCCTTTCACTTTCCTCTCCAAAGGTACCTCTAGATCTGTGGCCTTAATTCTTCCCCTTTTCTATTCTTTTGACGGATGATCCCCACCACTTCTTTTTCCTCTCTGCTTAGCAGCAGTAGCTTACACCTCTAATTTCTACTTCAACTCTTTGCCTCCCTCTGGCTATGAACGTGCTCAGAAAGAAAAACACAATCATGCTTTTCCTTGATGCTGTTGTGTCTTTAAGTCCCCAGTGGCTCTTCTTCCAGATTCCCCTAAACACAAGTCTACCTCTGAGGTGGTCTGAAGACCAGCAACAAGAGTGTCACCTGAGAGCTTGTTAGAAACGCAGACCCACTGCTCAGAATGTGCACTTTTCACTGAGTCCCCAGGTGACGGAGGAAAATGTGAGAAACTCTGGTCTATACCGAGTCTGCTTCTACAGCACTCGGACTTAACTGATCCTTCTGAAATCCAGCCTCACACGTCTCACTGTAACACTTCCCCAAAAGCTACATCAGAAGTTGCAGACTTTCCAACGGACTTTTTACCAGGCTCCAGCTCCCCTGACCTCCCTGGAATGCACCCTGCTCTCTTCCTCTTTCCCACTCTCTTCTGTTGGCCTATGAGACACCATCCTATAAGGCAGCAACACGCTGCATGACACGAAGGTCCAGACATTGACAGCTGACCACACATGCCTGTGCTCACCCACGGCAGGCACACCCAGCTCTGCGTGATCAGGTACCGCAGTCCTCACTGCCTTCCTAATGATCAGGGGGCGGGGGAGTGGAACATTCTGCTGTGCTTCCCAGACAAGCTTTAGTGCTGGAAGCAGCTCACTTCATACTCATCTCATTTCAAACACTCTTCTCTTCTTTCTTCTAAAGAGCTATTCTACATTACCACCTCCTGCCAGGGACCCCCCCCCTTTTCCTTCATTTACTCCCCTCCTCCCTGCCTCTCTCATTCTTCACTCCCTCCTTCCCTCCTCCTGGCTTCCTGACTGTCCTCAGGTCACAAAGCATCTTGAAAGCAAGCTAACAACTGAGCTCCTTAAACAGCATTCTAGTTTAATCTGTTGCTGACAACTGGTAAGATATACAATTTACCTCTTTTTCTCCTCTTTTTCCTCACTATATGTTCAACAGGTGATTTTCTTTGGCTGAGAGAATAGATCCAAATCCATGTTTTAAATCAACATTCTGTCAAATGACTTTTTTATACAATCCAGTGCTTACTTTCTATTTGTCCATTTAATGTATTTTTTTCTCCTTGACGTGCAGCTCCAGATAACTGATCAACATAGTTTGGTAGTTGAATCTCGGAGATACTGTTAAAATTAATATTAATAATGAGTTGCATAAAGATTTCCTAATCGCTTTCTAAGAAAATACCTGCGTTTCCTACCTTATTTTTTTTTAAATTTCCTACTTTAAAAGCAATTAGATTTAAAAACAATATAAGCATATCCTGGAAACCCAAACATTTAAATAGAAAATTTCATATACACTCTCTAGATCAAGTCTATCTTTTATCTTCAGTTGGCTTTTGACTCTGTAAACTGAGCATGGAAATCCAGAGCAAATATTTTCACAGACAAAATACTGACTTACATGCAGATTTCAACAAAGAATTAACTTCAAAATACCTAATTCCATTTTGCATTCCTCAACAAAATAAGAGGACTTTTTTTAAAAATACGTATTTTTATATGTATAACTGAATTGCTTTGCTGTATACTTGAAACTAGCATTATAAACTGACTACACTTCAATAAAAAATAAAATTAAAAATATGCATAAATATATGCTTTGATAAGTATACGTGCTATAAATTTAAAATGTTTCTTAGGACAGATATTGTTTTTAATATTAAAATAACATACTTGGCATGAAAAGAAGCCTTGGAGTCTGTCATGTTGAGTATTAACAGAACACTGTGGAAACTGCTACATTTCAGTAAACAAAGGCTTAGCAGAACCTAACTATTATTTGATAAAACTTTTATTGATAGGAAAAATAGCTGAATAAAATAGCAAAGTAGAAAGAAAAACATTTATGTTTAAATTAACAGCAGAAAATTTTTAAATGTAGCTATGCAGCTCTTCAAAAAAGTACCATAAGCTTTACTTTAACAAGGGAAGAATAAGAACACTGCTTAGTGACCACCCGCACATGCCAGGCCCTTATCATGCACATTCTCTTCTCTACACACAGCAATTATAAAAGTAATTCTAAGGACGGTTACCCACTTGCTGCTTCCTGGCCACTCCGAGATGCTGGAGCACCGTGATGAGCAGACGGGATCCGCTGTTCTCTCTGTCCGGAACATCCCTCCCCGGGACCTTCGTGTGACTGGCTCCTTCCTGTCCATCACCTGGCAGCTTTGGTCACACTCAGCTCTTTTCTGACTACCTGAATTCCACCCTTACTCCACCCTCGTCCTAACTACAAACTCCCCCACTGTTGTCTAACCTAACGCTCTCCACGTTCCTTAGATGAAGGACCTACTGTCCCTGAAAAAGGGTTCGTTTACTTGTCCTTCTGTTCCTGCCACTAAAGCCTAACCCCTCAACTGCTACATTCAGTGTCTAACTGCCTGGTGCTAGTTGGTGTTCAGGAACAGGAATTTATTTAAGGTCAAAACATCTAAAATCCCCAGAAGGCATCAAGTACCAAAGCACTACATACCTATTGGAGATCTCCGATAACAGCCTACTGACACTCAACATACCCCAAATGAGAAATCCCCGTGTCCGCTCTAACTTCCCCATTTTACTGTCCTTCAGATTTTAAAAAAGTGTCCTCAACATTTCAGTAGGTCACTAGTGGGCACTGTGATCATTCTGTCTTACATTTCTATAGCACTCTTTAAGTTGACAGTGTGTTTTCACACTTGTTACCACATTTTTGTTCACGACACATAATCGGAGAGGCAGGTATCAGTACCACGTTTTTGAACGAGGTCACTGACAATCAAACAAGTCAGACAAGTTTTTCCTAGATCCCACAGTGGGTCAGAACCAGGATGCTACCACGTCTGCTGACTTCAAGTACAGTGCTGTGCCACTAGGCAGGAGCTGCCGAGATCCAAGGGCTCAGGCTCTTCTGACCTCTTTCCACGGCTATCACCTTGGAATAGGTCATCACTACCCTGCACTTAGCTGCCTTCAAGTTCGGTTGCCATAAAGGTACTTAGTGCACGCTATTTTCCCTGCCCAAAATGGGCTGTCCTCAGTAAAACATCACTCAACCAAACTGCTAGTATTTTAACCCCACATATTTATTATTATTCCCCAATGCGTCTGCTTCTCCTGAAATATTCCTTGCAGATCTACTTGACAATCCAAATATAATACTTCCAAGTCACAGGCACTGTCTTTTCAAGGTCAAAGTGGTTAAACAAACAAAAACACTTTTTTTTAATACAACCTGTTTCTCTCTGAATCTAAGAGTTTTTCATATCCATTTGTAACAAAGAAACAAACATCTGGTCACAGGCTGACCAAGAATAATTCTTTAGTTTTTAGAAACTGTAACTTCAGAGCCCAAACCAATTCCCTGTGATTTCTAAGCCTTGGTTTTTGCGCTACATACACCCGTTTCATTAGGTGAGTCTGGAAAACTAACAGAAGTGCACTCTGCAGTGGTTTGACATGTAGCGTGGAATGACTTTACTAAGTGTAGGTTAAAAACATGAGGAAAAAAATTTTGCTGCACAAACGCAAAAGTAAGAAAGTAAAGTCAAAATATCCCTCCATTTTTGTTTTAACATCACACAATGCTTATATCTGAAAATAATAGAAGACAGTACCTCAGAATCCCAGGATAGTTCTACACCTTCCTTTTCTCCTAATCCTAATGCTGAGGCTGCACCTACAAAATGCAGTCACAGATACATTAATGAGAACATGTACCACTGGGGAGTTTAAATACATATATAAGTCTATCTCCATTCATGACTATGTCAACAAAATAAAGTGGCAGAAAAGAATTTCAGAGGGTTGAAGCATTTTCTGGAAGAAAACTTGGTCATAGTTGGGACATTTATGAAGAAAGGTGGCAAAAGAAAAACACTTAAAAAGAAATGGTTATCATACTTGGATCTACACACTTCAGATTTTTTACACTAGCTTTTTTTTTTTTTTTTTTTACTGGAGGTACTGGGAATTGAACCCAGGACCTCGTGCATGCTAGGCATGCGCTCTCCCACTGAGCTATACCCTCCCCCCCCAACCACACTAGCTTTTAAGCTGAGAAGAAAATCCACAGATGTTCACTAACTTACCACCTCTGTCACTTTCGTGTGCTCCCTCAGTAGAAATCAATGTGTTGTGATCTGCTTGCTCCTTTAGGACGTTTTTAATAGTCCAAGTGCCGTCCTCTTTTCCCCGTTTTTGGCTTTGTTGTTCCTTCCTATAAAAAAAAACAAAATGTAACAAAAACCCGGCTTCAGAAAACATCGTATTCCTACACTTGGTCATTCAATCAATCAGTCAGGAAGACAACATATATTGACTGTATCCATCAGATCATAGGCATTATCCTGGGAGAAGCTGGCAATATATATAAAAGACAGATTCTGCTCTGTATTCTAGGGGAGGTGGAGACACATGAAAACGAATCAGCACAGACAAGTATCATTCAACAGCTCTACACCTGAAGTGAACAGATACAGTAAAGGCACAAAGGAGAGAAGAGACCTGTTGCATGTCAATAGCTCCGGGAATGCTGGGAAGACCAGACTGTGTCTTAAAAGACAGACCCAGTGCAAAGAGCGGATGTGAAGAGGATTCTAAAAAGGGCAGCCTGAGCCAAAGGTCGAGGTGTGAAACAGCATGATAAGTCACATGGAAAACTAGAACGCACTTACTGGGGATGGAATGGAGAGACAAAATTTGCTAGATTAAATGTAAGACATCACTTCATTAATTTAAATGTGAGGATTTCTTAAAAAAGAAATAACTTCAAGTTAAAACTAACTTCCATAGGGAACTATATTCAATATCTCATAATAAACTATAATGGAAAAGAAAAATAATTTAGATATATACATATATAACCAA